GAGGAAGAGGCGATCCCTTCTCTTAGAGGATAAATGTTCTTTTTATACCTGTGGTCGTTGGGACAGACCCCCAACAATACCTTTTTGTCCTTTTTAAGCCGACAGGACGTGGGAGCGTCCTATTGGCGGATCGTGCTCCACTAGCGGTTGCTCGCTATTGGTGCAGAACTACCAGAGGGCAGCGTGATGCGCGCTACACATGTCGCTTTTAGGAGCGTCTAGTACTATTTTGTCTTGCTGTTGACCGGAGCTTCTCGTCCTATGTCTGGCCTTGGCGCTAGGCCGCCGAGACATAAGTGCGATGCCGCGAAGGCGAGGGTTCGAGCCTAACACCTGTTGAGCAACGACCATTGACTAGGTCGTCCTTAGGTGACAATTTCGTTATCTTTGACGTATTCCTAGTGGGATACGTTAATAGTTAGTTTCCAACAGGTATGTTCCTGAGCTGGAACATCGCAATCGCATATCTTCACAACGTCTCAAACCTGGATACGAGCAACTTGGAACCAATTCCTTGTAGTCGATGAGTTGGAAGACATTGTTCTTGAAGATGACAACAATCGGATGAAGAAAATTTTGAGTTTGCACGAATGGGTAAGAAACAAGTGAACAATGGTCCAAATGAGGGTTTTGATTAAGAGGGTTGTTGGACCGATTGACTTTCTTCGCCACATCACTAGCCCACATACGAGTTACACGTAAGCAACTTTGACACATTAGACATCTACGTACAATCGATAAACCTTTTAATTTCGTGATAAATGGTTTAATTTACTAGTAAAATATGATTTTAATGGTCTATTGCACAAAAAAATAACTTTATTGACCAAATCGAAAAAATACCTTAACTTTAATGTGTTACGGTGAAACTTTTCTTATTTTTTTTTTCACAATTTTGCTTTTGATGAATTCGGTTCGTAAAGTTGTTTTTTAAATTATTATTTTTTAGCTTTCTTTTAGTAATATTTGAGGAGTTATAGGTTACAACAGATAATGTTAGATCATTTTTTCTTTTGCCAAAGTTACACAAACGATCCCTATAAAATAATCGGCTTTAAGTAATTTTATTTATTCATTTATTTATTTATTTAATTTATACAGTTACAAACGATCATTAATAGTTCCATATATGATCCCTTTGAAATAGTTTATAGTAGACAAGGCACCCACTAGTATATAAAAAATTAATCTGGCTTATTCAAATTTCTATAGAACAATTCACCCAATGGTAATAAGAGTTATGATATTACTTTACGCTTGCAAAAGTATTGGCATGGTAAGATGGTGTGGTCCGCACAAGTCAAATAGCAAGTATTAACGACTAACGAGTGGCAGTGTGGGTCATGCGGGCCAACTCAGGTGGACTTTGACGAGCCGATTAGTGTGACTTTAATTTGATCATCATCTTCATCTTTATCTTGTTTTTCTTTGGATTTTTCTCATATAAAAACTTAAAGTACAAATACATGTGATAATTTGTTCAAATATTTATTAAAATATTATTGATTATTTTAAGATAAAATAATATTGTTAGATAGACGAGTATCTGTTAAACTTATAAAAACACAACATGTTCACACACATTCAAATACATTAAGAGGTTGTTTGGTATAGTAGAGAATTCATTAGATAAATGACATTGAGAATCGATTCTCTTGTTTGGTTGAATTAAGCAATGAAATGAAAATGAACTTTGTTTACGATATTTATCATTTTCAAACAACATTATTTTATAATAATCCGATTATGTATTTTCTATATTTCTAATTAATTATCTTATCATTTCCTTTTTACAAATTATTGTTTATAACCATCAATCAACATTTTATATATGTAACTTTAATTTTTTTTAAAAATATATTGTATCGGATGACATGATTCTCATAAAAAAAGATAATTTACAAAAAAATAAAAATATTAAAATAACTATAAATAATTCTCAACATTATATTTTTAAAAGAAATGCTTCATATTCCCCATTCTCTGATTCCATCTTGAGACTTTCAAGCACCACATTTATAATTGCCATTCCACAAGCATTATCCATATGAGCATAGTATGGTCTCTTTGCCCAAGGAGGGTCCTCAAAGTCAAGCTGCTATCCTGTTTACAAATTAGATATATAAAAAAAAGTTAAAAACAGCCAAACAGATTGAATTAAAATGGACGAAATGAGATAGCCATGCTAGGTTCACACACAAAACCATTCTTTGGTTGTTCATTTTCCCAAACAATTTATTGTTTTTCAAGTACAGAAAGTATAAAAGGAATGGATTAATCAAAAATTGAGTAAAACAAGTATACATCATCATTCAATTCCAAAAGGATTCAATGACATTTCATCAAACACCTTATAGGTTATAAAACTCCCTATCAAAAACTTATGAGGAACCAATTTAGTACAGCCAATCCCTCCCTCAACTAGTTCTTATTATCTTCCATCATATACTTCAAAATTTTATTTATCATCGAAAGATTCAGGAACATCAAATCCCACACTATATAATCACAAAACTAATGATCTTTTGTTCATCAATCTTGTTGGCTACCAAATCGTATAAAAATATGTAAAAAACAATTGCAGTTGATGAGTGTTTCAATTGGTATGTGTTATCTGTTGTATCAATAAGTAAAAAGCAATTTTGATCGATGAGTAAAAAGAAATTTCACTTGATGAGTGTTCACCTTTTGAGAGGAAAGAGTTGTATGAGAATCGATAATATTCCTAAATCGATTTTCCCTTTCAAAATCAACAGAGTAATCACCAAAATCGTAGGAATACTGAAGCGAAATGCGATGAGAGATGGAGTAGAGAGAAAGGTTCGAACTTGGAACGTGAATGAGATTGCAACCTTCAATTTAATTCTCCGCTTTTTTTTTTCTAATTCTCGGATGTTGATGATTATATTTTCTCCTCATTTCTTCACAAAATTTAGAGAATTAAATAGGTGGAAAGGGAATCAACTTTTTTATCGTTTCTCATTTTTCAGTTGTAAACCAAACAAGAGAAGCGGAAATGATTCCAATTCTCTCCCTTCAATTCTCTATACCAAACAACCCCTTAGATTAAGGCCATACTTGCGAATTCGTAGAAATCCAAAGATTATAATAATCTGCAATAGTAATAAATAGATTTATATTCGATCTTTGTTGGTTCGTCGGCCATCAATGACCAAAAGTTGTAATAATATTTTGTACATCTGTCTTTAATAATTAGTAGTTAATTAATTAAAGATTAGTATAATATCTACCAATATGGGACTAGCTCACTAAGTAGAGACTTTGGCCTCGTTTGTTTTTCTACAAAAGTACTTTTTGAACACTTTTATCTTCTGGCGGATAGACGCTTCTCAAGTGCACGTCTTTCCGCAAACATGAAAAAAGACAAAAGACATTTAACCACTTCCAAAACAAACAACACCTTTGCCTCTTAGACTACAATTCCGGATTTTAATCCGGACGTTGATGATACTAACTTTTAGCTAATAACTACTAGCCAATCGGTTTAAAAAAAGATTAGTATACTAACTTTTTAAATATGTTACTTTGATGGTGTTTTTGTTTGAAAAACATAACAAATGCATGCGCTAAAATAACAAAGCAAAATAAATAAATTGTATATTATAATAAAAAAATAATTTCATTACTCTAACATAATGATATTTTTATTTTTCATATTGATCAAGTAATATCGAAAATATTACATTAACAAAATTATATTTAGTGAGTTGGTTTAGAGGAGAAACGAGAAAAAAAACAATAACTCCAGTTGTGTGAATATATGTATATTGCCCATATGATTTATGATCAAGTGAAATGGTTGAAAAATAGAATTTCATAAAGCCTGCCCGACATACTTCCTACAACATGAAAAGCTTTCAGGTCAACAAATAACACCATCACAAACCATCACTGGGGTCGATCGTTCGTGTACTCTCAACGGGGAGAGAGAGAGAGAGAGATTACCCCTCATTGATTTGTTGCAAGTAACGGTAAGCATCATGAAGAGTCACAATCTTTCATGGAGGTGACATAAGATAGTGTGCACGGTCGTGGTGGCCATGCCACCAGACCACGTACAAACGCATGTATGATATACTTTACGGTTTAAAGTTAAAATGAAAAACATACTTTTAATTATTAGATTAGAGTATCAACGATAATAATTATTAATAAAATAACTAAATTAGTTAGAAATATTTAATTGAGATTCAATATATTATTATGTTGATGTTAAATTTAATGATATACAAGGAAATAGCCATTGAGTAATTGTTCAATAGCAAACAAGAAATATTTTTATATAGATGATTGACAATAACAAATAATTGATATTTTATAAATATATGTTCCATTGATTAGTTTTAGGATTCAATGTATTATAGAAAGTATAATAAAAAAATATAAAAAATGGAATTATAATCTATAAGATAATTCCATAAATGTTATATAGTTTAATTTTAATACTTTAATAGATTGGACTCCAAGACCTCCAACTTTGTTTTACCATGCATTTTGTTTTGTGTGGCCTTTGTCGCATAGCCTCGAGTAGCCCGACCTCGACTTATTAACAACGAGAATAAAATAAATGTACAAATGACACTCACAACACTGAAAAGTTAATTAAACAAACAAGTTTACAAATGACACTCACAACAGTTTAGTTTAGTCTTTCTTTTTTTGCTTATCCGACATATACCTACCACTTGTAGTCGGATCCACGATACAATCTGTTTGCGATATTAAAGTTGGTAAAACATTATTCCTTCGTCACCATCCCACCAACTTCCTATTTGCAACTTCAAACATAAAATTATTAATAGTATGGTCCCTATGGTTTGGTCCATTTTGATCAAAACTTGTGTTAATTTGATTGAGTATGGCTGGAGGTTTGGAACTGTTATTTAATAATTATTTGGGATGTGACTTTTGGTAGTCAACTTTGGGGTTTGACTTGGCTTGGTCGCAGTAGGTGAGCCCCAACACAAAGGAGTCATCGTATGAAGCATCGTCATTCTTCATATAAAACTATAAAAGCAACCAAAACTCTTACCCATTTCAAACCAAATCAACACCGGCCACACCATTATCGCTCATTTCATCCAATACCAATTCTAACACATTTTCACAGGTATTCATTTCTTGCTTTCAATCCAAAAAGAAATACCGTTTTAGTTAATTTCACTAATTATGCAATGGTTTCAAATGCATTACGTACTAATCTGATCATGTTCTTACGGTTTAATTTTTATTCATGAACTGCAGTAAGGAGATGAAGATCGCGATTAGAGAATCAACGATGGTGAGACCCGCGGAGGAGACGCCGAGAATAAAGCTATGGAACTCTAACGTCGACCTCGTGGTTCCAAATTTTCACACACCGAGCGTCTATTTCTACCGGCCCTCCGGAGCCACCAACTTCTTCGATGCAAAGGTCATGAAGGATGCTCTGAGTAGGGCTTTGGTTCCGTTTTACCCCATGGGAGGACGATTGAAGAGAGACGAAGATGGCCGAATTGAGATCGATTGTCAAGGACAAGGCGTATTGTTTGTTGAAGCAGAGTCCGATGGCGTGATCGATGATTATGGTGACTTTGCCCCCACGTTGGAGCTCCGGAAACTTATCCCGGCGGTTGACTACTCCCTCGGAATCGAATCATATTCCCTACTGGTGTTGCAGGTTACTTACTTCAGATGTGGGGGAGTTTCGTTAGGAGTCGGGATGCAACATCATGCTGCAGATGGTGCATCAGGGCTGCACTTCATCAACACATGGTCCGATATGGCTCGTGGCCTTGACCTCAGTCTCCCACCCTTCATAGACCGAACCCTCCTCCGTGCTCAAGACCCACCACGACCCGTTTTCGAGCACGTTGAATACCAACCTGCTCCGCCAATGAAATCCACATCCGAAACCTCATCAGATGAAACCGTCGTCTCAATTTTTAAATTGACACGAGACCAACTCAACGTGCTCAAATCAAAATCGAAAGAAGATGGTAACACAATCAACTATAGCTCCTATGAAATGCTCTCCGGCCATGTTTGGAGGTCTGTGTGTAAAGCCCGCGGGCTGCCAGATAATCAAGACACCAAGCTATACATCGCCACTGATGGCCGGGCCCGCCTTCAACCCGCCCTACCACCGGGCTACTTCGGGAATGTTATCTTCACGACCACTCCGATAGCGGTAGCAGGCGAGCTTCAATCGAAGCCAACTTGGTATGCTGCTAGTAAAATCCACGATGCGTTAGTGAAGATGGACAACGATTATCTTAAATCAGCACTTGACTATTTGGAATTACAGCCCGATTTGAAGGCATTGGTTCGTGGTGCACATACCTTTAAATGCCCTAATCTTGGAATAACCAGTTGGGCTAGGCTGCCGATTCACGACGCCGACTTTGGGTGGGGCCGGCCTATATTTATGGGTCCCGGGGGGATCGCATTTGAAGGTTTGAGTTTTGTGCTACCAAGCCCGGTTAATGATGGGAGCTTGTCGATTGCCATTTCACTGCTAGCCGAACATATGAAGCTTTTCAGCAACTTCTTGTATGATATCTGAAATCTTGGATACATACGTTCTTTAAATTTGTTCATTATTGTATGATTTTAATTTTTACCCAAAGGGAAATACTTATGTTGAAACGAGCTTATAAATAGCTCCGTTGGTTAGAGTTTTTAACAGTTATTCAGCTTAAAATATTGATATATTTTGCACAAACATTTTATTCTTTCTATTTAGGCCGTCCGAAATATCCAAGACGAACATGCTCGTGGTCTACGTGGCCACGGAAAACGCTCGTGCGCACCACCCCGGCCATTTGTGGTCGGGTGTTTTCGTGGTCCACCATGATGCATGCGGCGGACAATCACGGCCAATGGCAGTCTTCCTTCCCTTTCTAGCCATTCGTCGGCCAAAAAGTTAAACTTTTAATATGTTTTTTTAATATATAAACATTACCTATATAAACACAACAATTACAACATTTACATTCAAACCATTCTCTTTTACACTCTCTTTAAAAAACATATTTATGGATTTTTTAAGAATTTCGATTCGGATGATGAGGGAGAATTCATCTCGACGTTCTTCAATGTTTTACAACACAGACATGATGAAAAAAGTTTGTATGTTTCACATTTAAGAGCGGCTATCAATCGAGATCGCCAAGCCGTACATGACTTATTAGTACATGATTACTTTGCCGATAATTGTCTTTATAATGATGACTCGTTCAGACGTCGTTTTCGTCTAAATAAGGTTGTATTTTTACGTATCAGTAATGCTTTAGAGGCCCGTTATGATTATTTTAAACAAAAATCCGATGCTAGAGGAAGAATGAGTTTTAGTAGTACACAAAAATGTGCGGTTGCACTTAGATATTTGGGATACAGTATAACCTTTAATGCATCCGACGAGTATTTGAAAGTATCCGAGAGGACCACTATTAATTGTGTAGATTGGTTTTGCGCATGTGTGTATGAGGTTTTTCACTAAGAATATTTGCATAAACCTACTGCAAATGATATTCAGAGATTATATTTGGCTCATGAAGAGCGACATGAATTTTCAGGAACGATTGGTAGCCTTGATTGTACGCATGTCGTATGGGGAAAATGTCCAAATGCATGGTGCGGTAAATTTACTCGATATGATATAGGTGAGCCAAGTATAATACTAGAAGTTGTTGCATCTCATGATTTGTGGATATGACATTCGTTCTTTGGAGTTGCGAGGTCTAACAACGACATCAATGTTCTTGGTCAGTCCCCTATTTTCAACGATATTTGGACCGACAAAACACCTGATAAGTCGTTCATGGTGAATGGGCATTTGTACAAATATGGTTACTACTTTTGTGATGGGATATACTCTGATTATTCAACATTCATGCAGGCATACTCGGTTCTGTGAAATGAAAAGCCAAAGTTGTTCACAAAAAAAAAAAAGCAGGAATCAGCTAGTAAGGATATTGAAATGACATTTGGAGTCCTCAAGCAGACATGCCATGTAATGAAACACGCTACACGACTATGAGATAATGATATAATTAAACAAATGGTAAATGCATGTATTATAATTACTGAAAATGAAGGTAGAGCGATCTGCATGTATGATCCGAACGATGTAGTTATTCCAATTGAAGAGTGTACCCGGAACGACTAGATTTTAGCGTGAGTTGTTGAAATTCAGAACAATGAAACGTATTTCAATATTCGAGAAGATGTCGCGGGACATTTGTACCAACAAAACATGAAAGAAGATTAGTTTTATTTTTATTTTTTTTTATTATTTTTTATGTTTTGAATTTTTATGTTTGTTTGTTTTATTCTAGTTTTTTTTTGAAGTAATGTGGATTTTTAAATCAATGTATTATTTTTTATTGAATGAAAAAAATAGTTCAAAAAAATTGTATGGTGTTATTGTATTTTTGGATTAAAAAAATTTTAAAAAATGATGTGCAGTGGAGTGTTAGTAGTAGGTATCCTATAGTTTTAGTGGTTGAATGTGGTGATGATGTGATACCCACCACTATAGTGGTTAGTGGTAGATATTATGGATGATCTTATGCGTCTTACTAAATCAGTCTCAATCTTGATTTGATAGAAGTCAAACATAATACAAGAATGTCTTGTTAAACGACGCCAAATAAACAAGCATTGACAATAGCTATAGTCTTTCAACACCAAATACAAATTTAACGTTGAAATTCTAGAAACCTAAGAAGGGAATCATAAAGACTCCAAAACAAGACACATATATAAAAGTACCATAGAAGTGTGATGGTGCATTGTTCTTAGGAACATGTGGATCGTGGTTCATGTTCGCTCCACCATATGGTCCCTTTCCTTCCTGGAGCTTGCGTTTCACCTCTGTCCTATCGCCATAGATTGCCCCCTCGACCCCTACGAAGAAAAACAAGGCACATTTGTTTTTGTTAAATTATATACTTCTTTGGATGTTATATCAGAATATATGTTGTATAGGGGCTCCTTTGTAACTTATATATATATATATATATATATATATATATATATATATATATATATATATATATATATATATATATATATGTGTGTGTGTGTGTGTGTGTGTGTGTGTGTGTGTGTGTGTGTGTGTGTGTGTGTTTTGTTAGTATATGTGCTACCCTATTCAAGAGGGTTTCCATAATGCTCAACATGGTATCGAGCCAACTAAAACCCTAGGTTTTTTTCCTCCTGCAGACCACGATACGATCGACCCTTCTACTCTCACCTGGACATAATTTTTTTCTTTTCTCTGGTGTGATCGATGTTTCTTACTTCACAGTCACATGCATCAGCGGGGTTACGTTTAAGGAGTTTGAGGCTTGTGGGGCTCCGCAGTTCTTGGGAAAGAGGGGGCCTATCAACAGTATGCGTTGGACCGCTGATGTTGAGAGTGTCTTTCTCCCCAACTTCTGCCCGTTGGAGGCCAATGTCAGGTTTGAAACATGTCCGATGTTGAGTATGTATGAAAGGTTGTTTGCGTTGACGGTTGATTGTGGATTTTTTACCTAGTTATCAGTGGGACGATAGGAAGCTGGGGAAAACCTTGGATGAACTGCTTTTTTAAACTTTGGGTCAGCATAGTTGATGTGTGGAGTTGCCTTCTTTTCTTGGAAACTAGGTTTGATATAGAGGTATTCAAATTATGATTGAAGGTTGAGTGCCTCTTGGGTTTGGTTAAGTTGCAGTGTATTGGTGTTCATTTCTTCTATGAGTCTTGTGCTTTTTACAGAGGATGCCTGTTTAGGGTATTGTTTAAGTGTTTCATTGGACGAGACGTCAAATTTTTCGAAGTTTCAATCAGGAATGCCTTATACGCATGGTTTTGAAATCCTTGTAATGATTGTTGCAGATTATGGTATGATGGGTTGTATCCGGTTCGCGCTGAACCAGCTTCGCTTGGGAGCGAAGGACTGGTGGAAGTTTGTGACGACTGATTTTACCCCGACAGATCATGCTGCAATGACTTGGGAGAGGTTCACCAAGTTGTTTCGAGAGGAGTATGTTCCCTAGGTGGAGAGGGAACGTTTGACACATGAGTTTCTGTCTCTCAAGCAGAAGACAGAGTCAGTGACAGAGATTACGAGGATGTTTTCATGAGAGGGCGCTGTTCTGCCCTGAACACGTGTCCTCTGAGCAGGCACGTATGAACCGGTATTTGAGCATCTTGAGTAGGGATATACGGGAGTTCGTGGCGAAATCGTCTTATCGGACATTGGCTGAGTTGCAGACCAATGCCAGGAGGAGAGAGATTGAGCTGCAGATTCAGACCAGGGAGGAGGGAGAGCAGCAGGAGAGAGATAGGAGACCGGTACAGTCGCAGCCGGCGACAAAGCGGGCTAAGCCCGCTGATTCGAGATCAGGAGGCCAGAAGGGCCGCACTTGTAGCAAGTGCAGCAAGACCCACAGGGGATCTTACCGAGCAGGGACTTGCTACAAATATGGCAAGGAGGGGCACATGGCGAGAGACTGCCCCAAGGGATTCTTGGTTTGCTTTCATGGCAACCAAACTGGCCACAAGAAGGCCGAGTGTCCTCAGCTCACTCAGGGATCAGTTCTGCTCCTGTTGCTTTACGTGTTACCGATGGTCGGCCGGGGAAGACCGAGGCTCCGAGGGCTCGTAGGAGAGCATTCCCAGCTGACTGCGGAGGAGGTCCGCGCAGCACCTGATGTTGTTGCTGGTATGTATCTCCTTTATTCATGTTATCTTGAGATTTGTTTATGCTTATACTGTGCTGTATATATGTACTTTTCTTATGAGTTCTGTGCCTGCTTTGGTGTTATTTGACTCGGGTGCGATTTGATCCTTTGTGTCTTTATCCTTTAGTCGTCACATTAGTGTTGGACGTGAGGCGTTGAGTCGACCACTGAGGGTTTCTATAGCCAACGATCATGCGGTTTTTTCCACTGATGTATTCCAGGGATGTGTATTGGAGATTTTCGGTGTTGAGTTCCCGATAGATCTGGTGTCGATAGCGATGGGTAACGTCTGTGTCATAGTGGGCATGGATTGGTTGAGCCAGTTTGGAGCGGTGATTGACTGTGAGCGTCAAATGGTGACCATACGAGACCCTAGTGGGGGAGTGCTTACTGTGTATGGCGAGGGGACCAGATCTGGATCGGCTTTCAGTTCTACCGCCAGGGCGAGGCAGAGTTTACAGCAGGGGTGTATGGGCTTTCTAGCATATGCGATGGATACGAGAGTCGCTAGTGAGAGGCCGAGTTCTATCTCCGATGTTCCGGTTGTGTGTGAGTTTCCAGATGTTTTTCCCGAGGAGTTACCGGGTGTGCCTCCCGAGAGGCAGGTGGAGTTCCGGATTGATTTGGTTCCGGGTGCGGCGCCTATTGCCAGGGCACCTTATCGCCTTGCACTGCCCGAGATGCAGGAGTTATCCTCGCAGCTCCAGGAGCTGCTGGGAAAAGGTTTTATTAGACCGAGTAGCTCACCATGGGGAGCGCCGATCTTTTTTGTCAAGAAAAAGGATGGTTCACACTGAATGTGCATCGATTACCAGGAGTTGAACAAGCTGACGATCAATAACCTTTATCTACTACCGAGGATCGATGATTTATTCGATCAATTGCAGGGGCATCTTGGTTCTACAAGATTGATTTGAGATCTGGGTATCATTAGATGAGAGTTTTTGAGGAGGATATCTAGAAGAC